TCAAAACGTTGTTGTAAAAGCCAACGTCCTCCAGGACAAAGTAGCTAGCTGTATTCAAGGGTGTTATGTGTTGGACCTTTTAACAATATCGAATAGCGGCTTAGTGACGCCAGTGGAATTGGGGAAAGCTATTATGACACACCTGACCCTTCAACAAAAAGCGTGGGGCCTAGAGTGCTGGCTTCCGAAATCGCATTACGTAACGCATTTGCCCAGGCAACTCCAGGACCAAGGAATGTTGGTGAGCACGTTCATGCACGAGAGGAAACACAAAACAATGAAGCAGTATGCTGACCCTAGACACAACACGTCATCGTTTGAAAAATCCTTACTCACAGACTTGATTTGTCAGCATTTGTACGTGTTGCGAGCTCGTGGCATTTCGGCTGTAGATCTGAAGGAACCGCGGCCTGCATGCCAAAAAATGGTGCAAGCCTTGCGCCAACACTTGAATGTGATCGGTGATGATGTCCTCACAGCACATGTTGCGTACGTGCAGTGCCGTGCTGTTGCGGCAGGCGATACGGTTTCGTTTCATGATCGTGCAGGCAGTCTTTCTTTCGGTGAGGTGTATTTCCATATAAAAACAGCAGGTGTGGTGATGTCGTGCATCAGCGTCTGGCAGACTCTCGACATAGGCGATTCGTCGGCCAGATGCGTTGTCCAAGAAAACCCAACAATGTTTCCGACTGATTCAATAGTGGAGCCGTGCATTTCTTATACGGCCGAGCTTGGGTCCATCTCACACTTGCTTTTTTCCCCGAAGCTAATGCTTCGTGCCAAGCAGGCATAGCGTGGCTCTGCATGACAAGGGAAGAGGGAGAACGAGGAGGAGGATAAGGAGGAGGAGGAGGGGGGAGGAGGAGGAGGAGGAGGAGGACGACGATGAGGAGGAGGAGGAAGGAGATGAGAAGGAGGAGGAATGAGGGAAAAAGAAGCTGGAGGAGGAACAATGACGATGAATGCGAGGAAGAACATGAGGATGAGGAGGATGATACGGATACTGATATAATGATAAGTGTAATGACAATAACACTGGCAACGATAATGATGCGTACAATGAAGATGGTCATAATGATGGCTGGTGGTGATGACACTACAGATGATGTTGATGATGACATCGATGTTGATGTTGATAATGATCAGAGTAATGATGATGGTGATGGCAATGTGTCAGCGTTTGGCTACATTGCGAACTGTTGTTTCGACCAGCTGCGCGTCTAGTGCGTTTCAGGTACTGTTGGCGCAAGACAAGAAAGAACCGCAAAGCGGAGGTCCACCTGTTGCGCTTAATGATGTAAAAAAGGCACGAGGGTGAGGTTGGGAGGATAGATGGGGGGAGGAGGAGGGGGTGGGAAGGAGAAGGGGGAGAAATAATGTGGAGGAGGAGGAAGAGGAGGCGGAAGATGAGGATGAGCAGGGGGAGGAGGAGGAGGAGGAGGAGGAGGAGGAGGAGCGGGGGAAGGAGGAAGGAGGAGCAGGGGGAGGAGGAAGAGGATGAGGAGGAGGAGGAGGAGGAATGGGATGATGATAGGGGTGAGGCCGACGACGACGACAGCAAGACGAGGAGGAGGAGGAGGAGGAGGAGAGAGGTAGCCGACGACGCCAACGGAGAGAGGGGGGCGATCGGCCGACGTCGACTTTACACTTTTTCGCCGCAGTATTCTGCACTGTTGCCTTCGCTTTGGAATGACAGAACGTTGGAAAACAAGAATACACGAACGGATTTTATCTTTGACTGCGTGAACATGTCTTGCATTTCCGACAGTGTTTATTTCGAACTTGTGCTGCGCATCCTATTTAGGAACCTGATTACCGAAGATTGGGGTTAAGTACTTCCCGAGGTTAGCATGTGCGTTAATGTACATGGCTAAGAGACCCACATAAGTAGGTTAACGTAAACACACCAAACAACTTCTAAGGGACCGAAGCACACCCCAAACAGGGCGTGCATCCCAGTAGGCCTCTTCTGCTCCGCGCTCGGAGGGAAGTCCAGGGTGACGGCTGACGGCCGCCTGGGGCATTGTCGGCATCTGTTCACCAGGGGCGCGGCTGACGGCCGCCTGGATCCTCGAAGATCCGTCTTCGTCGGGGAGCCAGGGTCGCGGCTGACGGCCGCTCTGAGCTGTTGTCTCCTTGTCGCCATCATACCCGGATCCGGATCTGCCCCGTGGGCGAGGGGGGGGGCTGTCCAGGGGGGATCTGGGTCTGGCTGGGATCTGGGGGGTGACATTCTGGGTCAGTGCAGCCCCCAAGCTCTGCACTAAACGATCCCCATCCCCCGTATCGCCCTCCGAGTGATCCTCCATGAGACTGAGGCCCGCGCTGCCTGTCTGCGCTGCTGCTGCTGCTATGGCCGGCGCGCGCATGGGGGCCGGGGGGGGCCCAGGGCCGCGGGCCCGCGGCGGAGCGCACGGGCGCCCCCTTGAGCGGTGGGAGATTGCCCCGGAGAGGGCAGGCCCACCAGGCGGCCTTGAGCCAGGCTGCGGAACTGGCGGGGGCACTTTTTTCTGGGTCGCGGCCGCGAGCGAAGAGCGCAGGCGGCGAGCAGGGCGTCCGGGCCGACGGGCAAGCCTAATTAGCCACAGGGCGCGATTAGCTACTGAGCGCAGCACGAGCCGGCTGGGCCAGCTCACAAACGCGGCAGCTGACGCAGCGGCAGCGGGGGGCTGGCTGGCTGAACTGGAACGCCCTGGGAAGCTCAAGCAACGTGCAGCCCTGCGGCAAAATGCCAGGGAATTCTGTGTTACGCGCTGTGGCGGCCCGATGTGGTAAACGATGGGCCGTCGCCAGTGGGGCGCCAAGCCCAAGCTGCGCCATCGGCGTGTGTTGCCAGCTGAGCTGCTCCGCCGAAAAAGCGCCGAATGCCAAGCTGGCGGTGGGGTGGGCCCGGAGGGCGGCCGAAACTGCGAGGGCTGAACCGCTCGGAGCTGGCTGCGCCTCCAGGGGCCGTGCGCGGCGCGAGGCCAAGCTGGCGGGGAAGAACATCGCCAGCAAGGTGGGGCGCCCAGGGCGGAGCTGCGCCGTCGCAGCCGCGTGGTGCACGCCGAAGGCCACCATGGGACGGCCTTATCCGCCGCGTCCGCCGTTCCCCGCGGGGACCCAGGGTCACCGTCGAATCCGCCAAACCACGTGGGCTTCCAGGGTCGCAGCTAACCGTTGCCACTGAAGGTGAGGTAAAGTTACCGCTGTCAGCGGGGGTTCTGAGCAGCGTGGGGGCGATCGACTCCGAGACCAGGATTCTAGCCTGGCGGCAGCCCAGCCTGGGGGAGGCCCGTGGGGAGGGGCGGTGGGGACAGACATCGCCGACCCTCCACGCGGAGGGGCCCCCAAGAAATGGACGTGGCCAGAGCCGGGCCCGGGAGGGGCCCGAGGAGAGAGGCGGTGGGGACAAACATCACCGCGCATCGTACGGATCCCAGGTGCACCTGGCCGGGGGACACGGCCGCCATTCCCCGAGGGGCATCCAGGGTCGCAGCTAACCGCCGCTGAGAGGAAGGTAATACCGAACGGTCGGTAATTTCGTCCACTACTGGTGTGGTCCAGGGTGGGCAGTCTGCAGCCAGTGGACTCGCTCGCTGAGGGCGGTGCTGCCACCTCGATGGCCGACGCATCCATGGGGGGTGTTCGGTGGTGCATCCAGGGTCGCAGCTAACCGCTCCTGAAGTGTCGAGAGGAGGTCTCGCGCCCGTAGTCTCAGCTGCTCCCCGCGTGGATCCAGGGTCGCGGCGAACCGCCGCTCTGGGTTGAGTGAAACTGGTGGGGGCACTTTTTTTGATCTGCGGCTCCAAGGACGATTCCAGAGAGCGGGTTGTATCAAGCATGGGAAGGCACGCGAGATAATTGCCAGCGGGCCAAAAGCCAACGCCGGAGTGCAATTAGCGAATGTACGCAGCGGCATTCCGGAGAGCAGGCCGAAACGAGATGAGGCAGCACGCAAGATAATTGCCAGCGGGCCAAAAACCGACGCTGGAGTGCACAGGCGCCAGAGAGCGCGGGGGGGAAATAGCACGCACACCGCGGCCCCAGGACGAGCCCCGAGAGCGGGCCGGAGCAAAAGCCAGCGGGCCAAAGCCAACGCCGGAGAGCACCGGTGCCAGAGAAGGCGTAGCGAGCTTGGGGGGCCAAGCGAGATAATTACCAGCGGACCGACCCAGGGGCTGGTAGGCTCTCGAGGGCTAATCGAACCAAAAGGGTGATCTTGGAGGCCTGAAAATGGGCACCAACACCAACGCAAGGGGGGGGGCTCCACAGGGGGAAGATGATCCTAGATTTTGGCGTTGGTGGTAATAGTTCGGTCACCTTGGAAGCCAGAACATTACCACGATCACCGAGATCGGGATCATCTTCCAACGGTGGAGGAACACCGCCGATATTGGTGTTGGTGTCAACCTCTAGGCCTGCGACGATCAAGGCTAAGGCTTTGAATCTCAGGATTCGGAGGCTCGCTCATTCCTCGCGCAAACATCGGACCACGGGGCTCCTCGAGAGGGCTGGGGCCCAGGCGGCTGGCACTTACGGGCATCAGGTCGCCAACACATTCGGGAAGGCTCGAGATCGCTGTCGGAAATGCCTTGGCATGGGCGGTGCCTCACTACAACATTAGATCTGTGAGAAGATGGGCATGAACCTGGGTATAGGCTACATCGCGATGGGCTTCAACTTTTAGCTTGGTACATTACATGTCTGGCCGAGCCGAGCATCCGCGCACCTGTTCGCGCCGCCTGGCTAGGCTTCGCACAACAGCTGCGTGCACTCGCGCCTCGGCAAGTGTCTCAACATACTCGAGGTCGGAGGTCGTCCATCATTGCGTAGTTGCTTGGGTTTGGTTGGGATCCGATCTCCCCCACCGAATGGCATGCACGTATCCCCTAAAGGTGACGAGCCTGGAGCTGTTCGGCCATTCCATGATAAAGCAGTTTCTACTTCTGAGGGAACTAGTGGACTACTTGCCGAGTTCGAGGGCTCGATCAGTTCCAAGCTACGGGCTTCTGCTTCTTTTCACTGTTGCGGTGAAGGGCCCCAAGGCGGGGCCGACAACCACTCTCTCAGGCACACCCTTCAGGTTGTCAATGGTGTTCCTCATGGGGACGAGCTGTCCAACACTCTTCTGGACATCGCCGGTTGGGGTCTTGGCGTTCATCCAGGGTGAAAGACGTGACGAACGCCATCAGCGACGACATCTGCCCCAGGTGCCGTCAAGACAGGGAAACCCCACTCCACCGCGGATGGACGCGCCCCTGCAACACGGGCTACAAAATTTGACGGGAGGTCGACCATCTGGCCCCCAGGTCCCCGTCAAGCCAAGACTGGGATCCCTGTTTCTGGTTTCGAGGTCTCATCCCGAGTTCCTGGGCTCAGGAGCCCCCTCCCAGGTCCGACGAGGCCTGGGATTACTTCTTTGCTGTCGACGCGCCGTTCGACGAGCATGTGCTCGGCATCGGCACCTTCGGCTCTCCGCTGACCGTCTGTGGAGATGCTAGCGGTGGAACCGACTCCCGAGACATTCGGCTTCGGCGTGTTGGACGTCTCTGTCGTCACGGTTCTCGATTATGATAACCATCAGGTGGGTGCGGCTGTGTTCGGGCCTCTTCCTGATGTGACCCCAACTGTTCCTAGAGGTTACGTCTGGGGCTTGCTACGTGCGCTCAGGCATTCTCGAGGGCCCCTGGTTTATCTTACTGACAGTAATGCAAAGGCTCATGGGTGGTATCAGAGGTACTCCAGATAACCCCAGTGATCCAACGCAACCCCACCACCAAAGAGCCAAGCCTCCGGAAGAACGCGTGGGAAGAAGAGCGCGCGATTGGCAACCCTTCGGAAATTACGGAACGAGAGTAGGAAATCGAAGCGCATCACGACTGTGAAACAGAACATGTAGCGCCTGACTGTGAAGCAGAACGCGTGCTGCGAGACAGGAGGACGAAGGAGAGGACGAGGAGAAACAGGTGACAGGCTCATACAACGAGGTAGCCCATCGCTGCCGCGGCCGCCCCCGTTTCCTGCGAGAAGCCCATTGTCTGTTTTGCCGAGCACGATCCACTTGACCTTGCGGTCTTGGTGTACGTACAGCGTTGTGTGCTTGCCAGATAAGACGTCTGAGAGCGGTTTCGCTCCAGCCTTGTCCAACACGGTGGCGTTGGAGACCCTGGATCCAACGCCAGCTGTTGGACAATGATGCACAAGAAATTCCAACATCGCGATCCGTCGCATGTGTGTATAGCCCAAGATACCCTCACGTATCGATGCTCAAGACGCTCCTGGCTCGAAGTTCCCTGAATTGCCGGTGGTCGGTAAATACATTGCCGACCACTTCGCGGGCAGCGCAGCAGAAACATGCCGAGCCTTCCCGAGGTACGAGCACGAGTGTTCAAGGCAGAGGTGGACGCTAGCCTTGTCAGGCGTCGTTTGTTGCGGTCTGCGCTCGAGGCCGTGGCCGCCAGACCACCGCCTGCCCACAGGAATGCTTCGGCCAGGCCGCCCTCTCTTCTCTCTCCTGTCTCTATCGCTTCACGGCGTCAGCTTCCGGAGTGCGGAACAAAATGCGGTGGAGCGAGGGGTTCAGCCTCCCAAAATGGTCTTACATAATGACGCCGATTTCCGTGTTTCGACCTCATTACCTTAGATTCGAACATCTTCCAGCTGCCGAGACGGAGAAGAGACCATCTTGGAGGGGCTTGGGACTCGTCCCACAATTGCATTTTCTCCTCGTCTTCCCAGTGTTGGATATTCAGCACGTGCGGGTTCTACGACATCGAGCAGCTCCAGAAGACTGTGTCCGACCCTTGCTCGTCGCCACTGAGTGCCACCCGCAGGAGACACAATGCAAAATTCAAGGCTGGGCATTGGCCCAAGGATCAACTTGTTTTGTCGAACCGAGCTAACTTCTCGTAGCTCGTTTCGGCTCGTATCCCGCCGCGATGGAGTCCTCTCCATTCCATTCCCCATGGGGGGAGAGGGGGCGCTTGGGCTCGAGGGTCCCAGGTGACCCCCGACGGCCCTAAGAGGGCCGAGTCATGGACATGTGCTCAGGCCCGAGAGATCAGGCCTGTCCCCCTACAAGCGGTTTTTGAGCGTAAATGAAAGATAGCAAAAAAAACACTCCAAAGATGGTCGAAATAGGCTAAACACCGTCCCCCGACTAATTTTTAAACTATTTTTGAACCGAAGGTGAGGGGGTGATATCGAGGTGGAACGGAGAGCCCCCGTGCCAGGAAATCGGTTTCGGTTTCGTGTTCGTGCGTGCCGAGCGTGCGGGCGAGGCGAAGCTGCGTGGGCGGGCGAGAAGTGTCCCTCCTCTGGCTGAGGCGCGGCCAGACCACATGTTGCCTGTCCCAGGGCCGGTGGCGCGCGGTTGTCCCGCCGGTGTCCAGTCGGTGTCCCGATGATGATGACGGTGATGACGATGATGATGATGATGATGATGATGATGATGAGGACGATGTTGATGATGATAATGATGGCCATGGTGGTGATGATGATGGTGTGCCGATGATGATGATGATGATGATGATGATGATGATGTTGGTAATGCTGATGTGGCTGATAACGATGATGATGGTGTCCCGATGATGATGATGATGTAAATGGTCATGATGATGTTGATGAGTGGAAGATGATGTTGAGGATGATGAAAATGAAGATGACGATGATGATGTTGATTATGAGAATGATGATGCGGTGATGATGATGATTTTGATGGTGGCCCGATGATGGTGATGCTGATTTTTGGTGTTGATGATGATGGTGACTCGATACTAATGATGCTGATGGTGACGATGAAGGTGGTGACGATGATGATGGTGTCCCGATGATGATGTGAATGATTATGTTGCTGATGATGATGACCCAATGATGGTGGTGTTGATGTTTTTTTCAGGATGATGTTGATGCGATGATGATGGTTATCCGATGATGATGATGGTGTCCCGGTGATGATGATGTTGATGATGATGATGATGGTGACGATGATGGTGTCCCGATGATGATGGTGGTGATGATGATGATGGCCATGGTGGTGATCATGATGGTGCCCCGATGGTGATGATGTTGATGATGCTGATGCTGCTGATGATACGGATGGTGTCCCGATGATGATGATGGTGTCCCGATGATGGTGAGGTTGATGATGATGCGGTTGATGATGATGATGATGATGCTGGTGATGACGGTGGTGTCCCGATGGTGATGATGTTGAGGATGGTGATGGCGATGATGGTGTCACGAGGATGAGAATGATATTGTTGATGATGAGGATGATGGCGAGGTGGTGATGAGTTTGATGATGGTGGCCCGATGATGATGATGCTGATGTTGATGATGACAGTGTCCCGATGATGATGATGATGATGGTGATGATGATGATGATGGTGACTATAATGATCGTGTCCCAATGATGATGATGTTGATGACGATGTTGCTGATAATGATGGTGGTGTCCCGGTGATGATGATGATGTTGCTGATGTTGTTCATGATGATGATGAAATGATGATGCTGCTGATGATGATGATGGTGGTGAACCGATGATGGTGATGGTTTCCCGATGATGATGCTGTTGAAGCTGATGATGGTGACGATGATGGTGCCCCGATGGTCATGATGATGGTGATGATGATGATGTTGATGATGACGGTGATGCGGTGATGATAACGATGATGATGATGATGATGATGGTTTTTTCGGCAACGAAATCGCCTGAAGGGCCGATTCGATCGCTCTGCCACACTTGAGATCCGCTGCCCCTCCGGGGGGCAATCCGACCGCACGCGCGCGACAAAACAGCCGACAGCAGTGCAATCAATAAGGCGAAAACCTACAGTAGCCCCGGACTCGGGCAATGGGGGGAGTGGAAAGAGGGAGGAAGCGGAGGAACTGCGAGGGGGAGAGGAAAAGAGCTGCGTGGACATCCCCGTTTGGCCTCGTCGGCCGAATAGCTACAATCACACACAGTGACCGAAATAATGGAGGGGGCAGGGAGGAGGAGGGGGCAAAAGAGGGTTGTGAGTGCATTTCCCGCTGATCTTAACGACCATTCATATAAACGGGCATCGCACAACCCCAGTCAAAGAATGAACCGCATCAGAACGCAATGCATGGCAGAAGGCTGGAATGTACCCCGAATTCCAGTCATGAGACGCGAAGGGGGCAATCAAATGTTGGGCGCACGCACTCGCCAACTATATAATTTGAAACTGGAGGCGGGCACTGGGGCGCCCGGCAAACGCGACGCTGCTCCGCAACGGCTGACAAGGGCAAGCCTGGGCGGCAAGAGCGATCCAGGGTCGGCCAGCAGCGGCCGCAGGCACCACCGCGCAATGCCCGCGCAGACAGTAGCATCGAAGCTACCAATTTGGGGAGGGAGGGGGAGGGAGGAGGGAGAAGGAATCGAGCAAGGCGGAGTTGGTGGAACTGCCGCGCACGCAATCTATCCGCCACCCTGCCGGGACAGAGCCGAGCGGCCCTCCGCGCAGCGCATCTCCGGATGTGCGCCTGACAAATGCGGTCGCTGCCGAAAACGCCACCCCCCCAGAGGGGCCACAAGCCCAAGAAGGCAGGGGACCGCCTCCCGACGACGACGACGACGACGACGACGACAACGAAGACGACGCCGACGCCGACGACGACGACGGGAGATAAGCGGCCCCCTCCCTCCCAAAGCGCGGGGCCCCCAGGGGAGGCGGTGGGCGGGCAAAACGTGCCTCCCCGGGAATTCTGACTTCAAGATCCCGGTGGAAAGGTATCAAGCCCTAGCGCCTAGCTTTGCTCTGGGGCAGCTGATATGGCAACTGACGCGGCGGCGGCGATTGTGATATTGCCCCGGCCGCGTGGCCGATAGGACGGCTTAATCGCTACCGAAAAGACCGCACAGGCTATGTGTGGCAATCTAGACGGTCGCCAGCCGCGGCGGCCGACCCACCGGAAAGTTGAACACAAACTATACCTGCGACCCAAGAGAAAATGAATCACACCGCTCGGGTCGGGCCGACATTGGGCCGCAGCCAGGTGGCCGGAGCCCGTGGGAACAAATCCAGAGAAAGGAGGAGGAAGAGGAGGGGGAGGGGGAAGGGGGAGCGCCAGAGCGGCTCGCAACTCCGCGGGAAAAACGAAAACCGCCGAGCGGCCGGAGGGCGGCGCTGAAACCGAGCTTACTCAGCGTCGCGCGCGGGCCTCGTCGTAGATCCAACTCGCCTGGCGGCGGCCCTTGACGACCTCGCGGCAAGCCTGTCGAAGCGCCTCAACCGCCGCCGGCCCCCGGCGGAGATGTCCATGACAACAACTGCAGTGGGCGCGGCGCATGGCTGCAAGACGGATGCCCCGGAGGACTACTGCCGCGTCCTGGTCGGATTCGCGGAGGTCGAGGCCCAGAAAATCAGCCAGTCGGTCCTGTCGCGTGGCCGCCCTGGGCATGCCCAGTTCCCTGTGCATGACCTCGTGCGCCACTGTGCAGTTCGCGTAGTGTTCGATGGAATCGGGGGTGGATTCAGCGCACGCAA